TGACTCCAAAGGTTAACCGGCGGGGGGGTGGGGGATGGAATTTTTAATGCATCTCTACAGGTTATAAATTAATTATATATCTAATTATTTATGAAAGCAGTATTTATTGAGCACATGCTATGGGCAAGTTCTCTTCTAGGTACAATGACGGAGACGCTATAAAGATATGGTGAACTGTATCCTCGGGAAATTAAATAGGAGAGGTGATGATGATGATCAGACAGATACAGCTTAAAAAAGTCCACGTGAGTTCTGACAAGGGATAGATGGTATCCAGGTAAAGATCTCCAGAAAGATGCTATATGTAAATGTTGGCACTGAGCTGAGCCTTAAATACAGAGACACAAGAGATGGAGAAAAGTAGAGAAGGGGGGAGAAATATTCCAATTGGGAATACCACGAGCAAAGGTACACTTCAGTCAAAACACCAGCATTTCCAGTCCAGCCCCCAGCTTGATTGAGCGCTTCTCCCTTTGTCTGCTCAACATAGCGCCAGCTGCCACGAGGTCCTAAAAGCCAAAGAGAGCCACTCAGGGTATGGCCCTCCCTCAAATTTCTTGATAACAGCTCTTCGTCCTCTCCTTATTCCCATACAGTCTGAAATCTTTCCTTTCTACAAGAGAGTTTTAGAAACCTAGCTGTCAGGAGTGATTAGGCCCTCAAGACGAATTGCACAGAAACTGAGAAGCAAAGGAATAGCTAAAAACAAAACAAGGACTGCGTTCAATGTTTAGCTCCACTTAGGCACCAAGTTAATGAATTCCCTAATAGAACATGTGGGGGAAACAAATGAAATCCAGTCTCTAATGCCATCCAGGTACCTGGAAATGCTTACCTTGTGTTCCCATAAAAGCAAACAGGGAACTGAGTTTGAAAAACAAAAGAAGGCTAGTAAATTCCTGAAAGGAGACAGTTCTTTTTCCTTGGAGATGAACCAAATTATGCATTGCCTCTCCCACCAGCAACATACTCTGGCTCAAATATTTTTAAAAGAAGGCTGCTGAACATCTGCTAAGCAATTAATGGAATGCAGCAGTGTGCTGGAATGGTCCCTGGAAAGGTATTAGCAATCCTGCTTATGAGACATGAAATGTTGCAAGCAGTGGTCCTTTTTTCCTTTTTTAAATTGTAGTTTATTTTTATTTTCTGCCAGGGGGGTTGAGAGGAAGGGAAAGGAAGCTGAGGTGGAAGTTCTGCATCAAATTCTCTTCCTCACTGTGTCTTTTTTCCCCCAGGTATCTTTCTCCTTCTCTTCTAGCCATCCCAATATGAATGTGTTAATTTCAACTTAATCAAAGAAACTGCAGCAATTGTCTCAATCCACTGATCCCCTACCCAATGTGCCAAGTTTTCTATGAGTGAAAGGAGAATTCCCTCATAGTCTACCACCCTGTCCTAATAGTTAAAAAAAAAAAAATTGGGCAGTTAGAGCTATAACCTAGGAACAATCGCCAATGGGAAACTGATCCCTCCTATATTTTACTCCTCATCACAGTCATTGAAGAGTGCCAGCCTTAACACAAGCCTTGCCTTTTGCATATGGAAGTCTGGCTGACAGTGACTTTGTACCCTTAGATTCTGCCAGTCCTAACACTATTACGACAAATATGGCTAAAATCAATACAGAGAAAGTTTCCAAGGCTCAGTTATTGTGTCAGCCCTTGGCATTCTCTTCCTTTACTCTTCCAACTGGAGTTGATTATCCACATATAAGTCTACATTTACTCCAGTCACCTAGCCAGGCATCCTAGGAAGCTCAATAATGCCAGGTGATCAGGTTTCGAATTACACTGCCAAAAGATGTAGGAGAGATACTATCAGATCTAACAGGGAAGAATCAGGGACAGCCCCAATGGTTGGGAGCCAAAGAATTTTCTCACTCTCTCCAAATTGGCCCAGCCTAAGTCTGGGCTTTTGCCTCAAACTGCAGTTTTGTTTTGTTCCCTTGGTAACTTTGCATAGTATCTATCTATGCTGCAGAGGTCTCTCCTTCAAATCTCAGTGTGTTCCCAGAACACACTCCCTTTTGCCAGCCCTTCCTCCCAGGGATCTGCGTACTGCTCCCCAAATTCCCAGCTGTGAAATGAAGTATGAACATCAATTGGATAAATTTTCCAGATCTTCCCAACTTTGCATTTGTCCTTGCCACCTGGAACTTACACTGGTGGGATTAATTTTTTGTGGTTATCAGGAATGGCCTTTCTTTCCCACATGGAACTACGGATTCATGGATGCCTTTGCTATATAAGTTTCCCTGACCAAGCCTCTGGCCAAATCAGTTTCAGCTAATTAGCCACTTTTTTTATCCTTATTTTTCAGCTGGATCCCAGCTCTAAACCAGATGTCATCACAGGAAGGCATCCTTAAGTACCACTTAAAATAAGATTCAAATTCAGGAAGCTAATCTGAGCCACCTTTGGCGTGTGATGTGACAATCAGTTAAATAAAAACCAGGCATATTAAATAACTGTTGGAAGAGAGAGAGGTATGGGGAAGAAAAGGTATGAAATGCAAGTTGCCTCCAGAATTTGAGAGTGGGGTTAGTTCTCTGGCTATCTTGGTCTACGATGCTCCCCTTTCTAACAAAGTCCCTGGGGAGTGTTTTCTAATAAATCAGGCTACACTACAGCAAAATATGCTGCCTGAAGATAGCATTCCTTTAGAAGCAGAGTATGCTGTAAAGGGATGAACTAGTTGGCCACATCACTTCAAACCCAGAGTTCAGTATGGAGTATCAGGCATAGCTGTTTTTAACCTCTAAATTCAAAGGGAACAAGTCACTTTAGCTGTCGTAGGAGAAGATGATGAAGTTCAGGATGCCAACTAACAGGCTGGACCGTGTAGTTCGATGAAATAATCAGTAAACTTATTTCAACCAATTTCAAGTAGTTACTTTCTGCTCATTTGACAACATCTGTCAGTGGCTTGGCCATCAGCATGACTACAAGGGATGTTTCTGGACTTTGTTTTCCAGTTCAACCAGCTAATGTGTAACTGCCACGTGTCACCACCATTCACCGAAGACCAAAGGCCAACCTTCTTGGTAGGAAAGAGCCAGTCTTGATCATCAAATGCTCTGAGATAAGTTGGCAGCCTTCGTTCAGGTCTCAGGCTTAAGGGATGCTAGATGCTTCATAGTTTGCTTTTCTCTTACACTTTCTTATTTTCTTCTGGACCTTTTCATCATTCGGAAGGTGGCATTTGTTAATGCACTTCCTCCCTGGCTTTCCCCAATGATGGAAGCTTCATGAAGGCAGAGACCTTATCCCATGCTGAGAACACTTCTTGGCTCAGAGTAGCCAGGAACTTGGTAAATGTCTGTTCGACAGATGAATTAGGAGGACAAGCTGCAGAATAGCTAATCGGCCCTACTCAACCCTTTCTCTTAAGAGTCACCTTTCTCAAGTGACACTGAATCCATCACACCTCTGCTCCTAGGTCTCCACGGCTTCCCAGAGCCCACCAAAGGAAGTACAAACGGCTCAGCCTGGCATATTTCCACCCTCCCACCTCCGTATCCTATGCTCAGGACACTGACTTTCAAATATCTGGTTTTTTTTAAGCAGTGCTTATTTTTTTTTTTTAAGAAAAAACGTTTTATGAAACCCTAATAAAGAAAAAAGATGGAATCCAAGCAGAAAAGAGGCCAGTGGCCAACCTGTTTGGCCATCCTCTAGACCTAGGCACACCTCCAGGAAACCAGAGAACGGACTTGGAAACACCTGATCTTTGTTCCCACTTATTCAGCATCCCAAAGCCCTCAAGGCTTTCGTGTTCCTTCCTTGGTGCTTCAGTACTTGCAATAATCTCCTGAGTTCAGTCCTTTCCATCTTTCAAGGTTCTTCCCAAAGATTACCTCCTCCATGAAGCTTCCCTGGGTCATTTTGACTGGGTACAATTTACCCCTGCTTTAAATTTCTTATAAAACTCTGATTGTTAGGAATAAAAAGAATAAAAAGAAAAATAATACCTTACTATGCACCAGGCACTTCTCTAAGTGCATTACCTAAGTTAACTCAATCCTCACGCAATCCCATTGTCATAGATGCGACAGAGAAGTTAGTTAAGTCTCCTCTCAAAGTCCATATAGTAAGCAAGTGATGGAGCAAGACTGAAACCAATACTCTGGCTGCACAACTGCAAAGTCCAAGAGCTTAGAAACGTTCTATTGTCTCTCTCTAAAGGCATTTATGCATTTTACTTGTTCAGAGATCCCAGCATTGCCCACTTCCCCCACCCCACAGTACTGCCACCACTGCTACCACCAAACTTTGAAACACTACAACCAGATGATATGTTTTTTGAGGGCAAAGACCATCTCCTACTGGCCTTTATGCAGCGTCAATACAGTACTCTGCAAAAATAAGTACTCAATAAATAGTGTTAATTTATTATTAATATAAAACAATAACATCTATTTCTATATACTTGGGATAACCTGAATTATTATTGACACTTCTATATAGCCTTAGGAAGAAGGTTTTCCCCATCATCTTTTACAGGTGAAGAGACAGAAGTTCAATGATATTAACTCATTTGTAAGATCCTGACCAACGTGGGGTTCAGCTTCTGGCTATGGCCCTGGACAGCTCCTAAGTCCCAGCTATTTCTATTGTACGATTTTATCCCAAGACTGAAGCAAGACAATTCTTTGTAACATGAATGATTTAAAAATAAAGTTTTGCAGAAAGACCAGAAAAAAGTTATTTGTAAGGTTAACTTTATTTTCAAGATTTCTGTAAGATGAAGTATGCTGTCATTTGAGGGGTCTTTTAGTGATTCACTGATGGTTTTTGCCAGGGACTAAGTGGGAAAATCCCCTTATTCTGTTGCCTTTTGGGTCCCCATTAAGGCAAAAATGCCCAGCAAGGGAACCTCCAAAGACTGATGCCCTATTTCTGATTAGCAGTGGCACCATTTAGACTTGTTTTGCTGAAACAACAAATTGGGATCCCCTCTGCTAGAGCCACTAGCCAGAACCCAGGGACAGGAACACTGACCTGCTGTTAAGTGAGCCGCGTGGACAAGGACTTGGACTCCAGGCTTCAGCTCAAAGTGCACGGAGTTCAGGTTGAGCTTGTGAATCAGCAGTTCTGATATCTGAAAGAAGAAGTGTCAGAGTGAGTGCTACCAAAACTGTCACACCAACTATATACAAGCGTGCTGAGCAATATTCACTGCACTGGCCAAGGCATCCCAATATGATATGTGAATGATATGAGTTTACATGATTTTGAGTTTTTAGTCCACAATTTGCTGACGGAATTATTTTCTAAGCATGACCTGACTTTACATACGAATTGTTACAAAATAGGACAAACTATTAGTAAATCAGATATTTCTACTCTTATAAAATTATCCTGTTACCAGCTTGGAGAAATCACCCCTGGTTTTCTGAGAGGGCATTTGTTATACACAAGGATTTAAAAGAAGTAAACATACACAATTTACAAATTCTGGTGAGATTCATGTCCCTTTATTTTATTCCTTGATAGTGGCCTCTACCTTACTCCTTTCTTTGCTTCCCTTCTCTTCCACAAAACATACCCTGTGGCTTTTCCAGAATGGATATTTCATGGATATTTATTGATGATAAATATTGTTCTGCTAAAATAGTAAATTATACATTTGCAACAAAGTGTAAATCACAACTTAATGCATTGGCTGACTCCTGTTTCGTGCTTATGAACCTAAAACCACTCCTTAGGCTGACACATGTGTACTGGGTAGACGGATGGAATTCTGGGCCATGAAATAACCCCAACAAGGGACAAAGGACCTTGTTTTGGGTAGTAACAGCATAAGGTAAGGTTTTCTAGACAAGGTAAAACGCTGTTCACGTGTTTAAAGTAGAAAACCAGCTCAATTTGCTCTGTTTCATTCACCCTTTCGAGTCATTTGTGGAAAGCTATCAGACAAAACCACACTCCTATCATCTGGTCTCCTTGCCTCATTTTTAACATTCTAATCACAGTGTAGTATTTTATTCATATGCAATTTAAGTCTGGTTAGATGCTTTCTGAACATCTAGTTAAATTCTTAAATTATTTTTCCTTTTATATTTATTAAGTTTCGCTTAGTCTACTGAGTTGCCAAAATGACAGCTTTGGTCCTTTAATCAATTAAGCAGGGCCTGATGGCTTTGTTTTCAAGCACAGAGTCTCCTGCAGAGGCCCCTGTCCAGTAATGGAACCGAACTGCCCTGCAGATGAACTTCTTTGCTTAACAGGAACTTGGGATGTCTGTCAGTGACCCGTGGATGAGCACCTGGGATCCAGTTCAAGTTCAGCCTCTCAAATGTTTCCACTTAGCAAACCACGCAGAAGAACAAGGTTGTGATAAACTTATGTTGAAAACAACTTTATTCTCTCTCTATAAGCTACTCTTTCTCCTGGGTACTGAGAAGCTTCCAAAATGTTCCAGGTTTACAGGAAGAGTGGATTTCTAACACGGACTGTGTAGAATAGTTTTCCTTTGTGTCCTGTAAAGTATTACAATGTACAAGTTCCTATTCTATCTTATTCTTATCATTCAATTGGCAAGGCCTTTCTAAGAATCTGACAGTGGATTTTTTTTTTTTTTTTTTTTTTTGCAGTACGCGGCCCTCTCACTGTTGTGGCCTCTCCCGTTGTGGAGCACAGGCTCCGGACACGCAGGCCCAGCGGCCATGGCTCACGGGCCCAGCCGCTCCGCGGCATGTGGGATCTTCCCAGACCGGGACACGAACCCACGTCCCCTGCATCGGCAGGCGGACTCTCAACCACTGCGCCACCAGGGAAGCCCGACAGTGGATTTTTTAGTAGAGGATATCAGAAAGGTTTTGGCTATGAAATAAACATACACACACAGAAATGTGTGTATATATGTGTGAAATATATATAATTAAGTATGCATGAAATTCATATGCTTATATACATACGCATACATGTGTGCACATACATACATACTTATATTTGGAGAAAAAAATATTTTACCTCAAATAGGAAAAACTTATCACAAGTAATTAAGGAACTATCCTGGTTTGCAGAGTCCATCACGTAGACAAAAGGGGACTATGTATTTGCATGAGAAAGGCTTCTTTCTTTCAACCAGCTGAAGTGATATTTCTTTCTTCTCCCTGAGGATGTTTCTTCAATACTTTGTGGGAAAGAACTTATGCACAGAAACAAAACTAAATAAAATTTACACTGCTTACAAGAATAATCTCAGTTAGAACCATATAATTCTCTACTCAAATGAGTATGAAACTGTTGACAGATTTTGACATTACTTTAAATGTTTTCCACCCCATCTGCAGAAATGTTTATTCTGTATTGTTTTCATCAGTTCATGAGTTGTTATATACGTTTGTACATATATTATCTATGCATTGAACACTTTGTATGGGCAAAGTTGCATATTTCTTACTATTTTTTTTCTAACACAACGTATCTCAGGTGTTAGTGTTGCTATCTCCATTGAAAGGAACATGGAGCTTAGAGGACATTGCTAAGTTTACCCAGTTAATATTTGAAGAATTGAGATGAGAATTCAGTTTTTCTCGACTCCTAATCTTAGGACATTTCCATGACAAACATTTTCCTTGAGCCACCTGACAAAGACGCAAAAGATATTTGGAAGGAGGTCCAGCTGAGCAGATTTAGGAGATAAAAAATTGCAGCATTTCATTAATTATGCTTCTATCTCTCATCCAACTGTGAAGCGCACAACTTAAAACACCAGTCCCGTGTCAGTTGACCAATATGAGCTACAGGCAATTCCTAACCTCAGCCTCAGGATTGCCACACTCTGTTCACCAGTTAATACAATTTATAATGTTTAGGAGAGTCTTTGGCTATGAAAGGAGCAGGATAAACTGCGACTATAGAACAGTGTGGTGACAGCCTAAATGGGAAGCACGCAAGTTTGCATGATAAAGACTCAAGTGAAATAATGTGTAATTGCTGGGAGGTCGGTCCGCCTAAAGCAAGTTGAATCTATTCATTTTTCTTTTTCTGTCCAAAGCGTGTAGTCTTAGCAAATTTCATTTATCCTTTGTACTAGCATCCCTCTTCTGCTGCTCTCCATTTTCTCTTCTCTAATCATGACCAAAGAAACAACATATTATTCTTAGTATCTGCCTATTTGGTGGAATATGCCTATGATTCAAATGCAACCCACTCTTCGTTTAAAGTACCACTTAAAAAGACAGTGGGAACTCAATAAAAATACTTGGAAAGACACCATCAAAAGGGTGTAGTGGAAGGGACCTGGTAGAGGGAAAATACCAGTTCTCTTCCTCATCTTCTTCACGAAGTATGATGTTTAAGTGTGGTAATCAGAATAGGTTAGGTCAGGCTGAGGTAACAATGCTAAAATTTTGGGGACTTGAAACAAAGGAAGTATATTTCTTGCTTACACTCCATATCCACTGCAGGTAGGCAATGATGCTGGGCTCATTATAGTCACACAGAGACAAAGGCTGGTAGATCAGCCCCCTCAAATGTACACAACACCGTAGGAGGGAAAAAGCATTCTTAAGGTTCTGTAACTGGCATTTGAATACTTCAGCTTGGAAGTGACACTTATCACTTCTGCTCCCACCTCATTGGCCAGAATTAGTCACATGGTTCTGTCTACAGAAGAGACTCATGGGTACAACCCTACTGGTACCCAGAAGTGGTGAGCTAGAGATGTTTAGTCAACAGAAGGGATGGTTACCATGCAAAGAACACATTCAACATCTAAACAATGTTTAATGAGACCAGTAGAGGAAAACAGACTCTCAGATCATTAGAATGGAGTGTCAAACATTGAAACACAAAGAAAGAGAAGTTTAAGGACAACACAGCAGTTGGTAATTTATGAAACACGAAACCCAAAGAAGTGGTACAAAGTGAAACTACAGATTCAAAATGGGCTTTGGCAGATTTATCCATGGCAAAGCTACATTGGGCCAAACAACTAATGCTTCTCTCTGAAGTTGGGAGGAGGGATGCAAACCCTACTGAACATAAATAGCATTCTGGTGCCATGTTTAGAGGGAGACTTGCTTGGGATGACCTTGCAACTGACCCAGTCAGTCAATCCTGATCATGTTAAGTTATGAAGGCCCCCTCAAAGAGTAGTTGAATGATATTACTTTTGGAATCAACAGAGAAAGATCTTTCTCAATTCATATAGCATGACTTCTGGAGTAAAACTTGGAGTAAGCAATGGAGCCAAACATGAATTCTATTTAAAAATTCTCTGTTTTGTTAGCACGACAGAATCAGTTTGATTAAAGTGACTAAGAAGTTTTTCCCGGATGACATAATGAAGAAATAATTTGTCCATATTCACTCCTTTCCCTTGGACACTCCAACACCAGCTCTAAGCTTCTCTTTTTCTCCTTTTGCCATATTCCTTTGGCTCAACTCTTACCTACTCTTTCAATTACAGTTTCCTGTTTTAGTGACCTTGTGAACTCCAAAATATTTCTTCAATTCCTCGCTTTAAAAAATCTGAACAGGGCAGACTGAGTATAAAGAAAATAGTCTGAGATGATTTATTACATTTCATAATGAATCTTTAATTTCTAAAAATGTTGCCAATAGACTGCTCCATTTCCAGAGGCACCTTTCCTTTCCCTGTCTTTTGGATTCTGCATCTGTCAAATGTACATGGTAACACAAACAACCGAAGAGGAAATTCCTTGTTGGTGGTTGACATTTTGTCCTTAGTCTTTTTGTTACTTTTAAATGCGCTCATGCCCTTTAAGGATTCAGCAAGATAACACCACGTAGGCTCCCTATCTCCCCAGCACAGCATCACACCCAGAGCATGATGGTCCTTCCTCCTTCCAGGAGAGGTAGATACAAATCTGAGGACTCAGAGAGATGCCTGGGAGTACAGTGGTGGAGGGGGTATGGTTTGCTCCACACCTGAGCAGCTGGCTTCAGGGCAGCCCTATCCCTGATGAGGCCAGCTAAGGGCAAGTGAGACTTTTCTCACTCTCTGGAGATGTGAAGTAAAGAGTGGTGGAACCCTTCCAGACAGAGGTCACTTGATTAACCCAGCCCAATGTTATCCGGATAACAAGGTCAAGTACTTCTCACTGTGAGGAATTTTCAATTTATTTCACAGACAAGCTGGCTCCAACTAAGCCAGCATCTCTCCTCCCCTGGGAACATTATTAGAGGAAGCTGAGGGAGGAGAGCCCAGAGCCCTTTGCTGGGGCCCTGCCCTCACAGTCTTCAGGGTCCATCTGGTCAGGGTCCCACTCATTCCCCTGCTGGGAGTTCTGTGTAGTATCTTTACAAGAAAGGCGCCAGAGTATTAACAGGGGGGATAAAGTCAGCTCTTCCCAAGTTCCATCTGGGATTCAGAGTGCAGCCTTTAAAGGAGTGGGGTCCTTTCTGTTGTTTGGTTTTATTTTGCATTCAGTTGAAATTTCTATGTAATTTATGACAGAGGAAGTCAGTTGCTTTTGCCTGCCTCCCGTTCCTTCTCCTTCCCCCACATTTTTCTTTAAGGAACCATATCCTTATTTATTCTTTGCCCATTTGGTTTAGGAAGGGCTCCCTAAACTCCTGATCCGGGGAGGGTATAAAACATTGAGTTGTCACTAATGGAGATCTAGTCTTCTGATTACCAGGCTAGTTAAGACATGCCCACTTCAGCCAAGTTGAGTCAGTGAGAATTATCACCCTGGGCTCTTGGGGTGCACTCAGGGGAGAGGCAATGTCTTTTGAATGGGGCTGATAAGATGACTAAATAAAAGACTGGGGCTTCCTGTGGCTATTCTTGTCTTCCTATGTGTTGGCTTCATTCTCAGGCAGACTTCCCATGTGGTAGCAACGAAAAGAGATGGAGAAAGAGGGAGAGAGGAAGACAGGGGAGTAATCTGGTGACGTTTCCTCTCTGAGTTCATCCACGCCTGAACTGTATCCTTGGACTTCCCAACTAAAGAAGCTCATGACTTCGCCTTTTCCCCTTAAATTTGTTTGAATAGAATATATGTGCACTGCATCAGGAAAAAAACCCTGCAAAAACCCAAAGCAAAACATCTCTTGTTCATTTCCGGGTACAACAGGCTTGGTATCTTGGGGGGCCCGCAGAAGTCAAGTGGTACCCAAAGACACATCTGCAGCGTGGCAGAGCAAGGGGACTCTAGGCTTGAGAGTTAGTTGCAGAAACAGAACCAGAAACTCATTTTCCTTGAAGAGTTGTGTCTCCTCAGGCAATTCACAGCTCCCTGTTGGGGCCTGAAGTTCTTCATTTTAGGGTGACTGAGTCAGAGAGAAAGATTAAAGGACCCCTCTTAGGACAAAACCTGTAGGATTCCTGTGGGCAGCCCCTATTTTGTTGGTTCTCGACACAGGCTTAATTTGTATGTTGATTTCATAACTGCACTTATTAATCGGGGTAGTGATACTCTCCACAAGACACTGATTTCTTATGTACCTGGTTTGGCATTTGTTTGGTCACTGTATTTAGTTTGAGTTCTGGGTAAGGCTGCTACACTGGCAATTCCCTTAACCAGAGTTACAATCTCTCACTTGGTACTCTGTTTTCCCTTAATGCCATCCATCAGCATGATAACTTAGATGAGTCATCCTCCCTCGAGTTTACTCATTCATGCATGTTCTTTCTGTTTCCTGTTGTCCTTGTTCTCTTGTGCAATTTCATTCATTAATCTTTTTCTCCTTATTGTCACCATCCTCTTTCTTCCAATACATGTCCTGGACGATACTAGTCTTTAATACTCTTACTTTTCTTTCTTTCTTTTTTTTTTTTTTTTTTTTTTGCATTTCTCATATACTCTCCTCCTATCACAAAATGTCCATAAATGTAACCAACATCTATTTACCACTTACTGAGTATCTACTATAGGTCAAGGGCTTTGCTGTATCATTTCTTTAATGACCTCTCAAACATCTTCTGAGATGGGTGTTATAGATTATGTGATTTGGGCTGAATTACTTAACTTTTCTGAATATTTGTCCTCTATAGGATACACACAATGAATACAAGAGCTGAAGCTAGAAACCTGGTGTATGTTTCTCCAAACCTGTGGTCTTTCTAATAAAATGTCTGCACTCCCTACATGTGTACCAAATGTTAAGTCCCACAGCTTTCACACAAGCCAAGCCAGCTGCCTTTAGATCTCCAATTAAATGGCTCATCAATACCTGATACCAGGCTGCCTCAGGGACAGTTACTCAGGTCTCCGAGAGTGTCCCTGGAGGAGCCACTCAGACAAGACCGAATAAAGAGAAAGAAGAACTCTAGGGGAAATAGACAGTCAAAGCAAGATACACAAGTAAACCAAGTTTCAGAGAACACACCCCTCTTCTTCCCACATTTCCTCTCAAGGAAACATCTAGAAAATATATTTTAGAGAAAAAATGAAAAGTATGAGAAATAAGGATGCACAGATGATGTGGTAACTGGGAAATTAGCTGGCTTTATAACTGGACTCTTCCATATCGAGAAGACTATATTCTGGATTTCATGCACAATCCATAAGATTTCCAGAGGAGGAATAATTATAAGCGTCCCTACCTACATGCCTTGGATAGCGATCTACCTCCCCTCTAGGTCTCATGAGCAGTGTGGTGATAAGAAATAATCCATTCTTTCTCCCACTGAATTGCAGGTGCAGAGAATAATTTGTCAAATACAGTGGGAAGTCTAGAGCTAGGGCTGAGCAAAGTCAGATGTAGGTCTGATGGGTTCCCTGCTGCCCGACCCCTAACTACAGTTCACTAGGAGATGGGGTTCAGTGGGGTTTTCCTTGACAGCCCAGTTATTCAATTACTTGCACATGGAAAACAATAGAGAGGTGAGTCTTTTGCCAAGTGAAAAAGCGGCAGTTAAAAGGCGGGTGTGCCCACGGGTAGGCCAGCCTATAATTTGGGGTTGTTAATAAGGCTATTATAGGAGGTTCTCAAACCATCTTGGAGACTAGAGATCATGGGACTAGATTATAGATTTATTCTAAGTAAATTGAAAAGCTCCAAGTACTGGAAGGGAGAAAGCCAATATTTACTTAGTGTCTGAGAGGAATCCTATTTTTTTTTTTTTTTTTTTTTTTTTTTGTGGCGGTACGCAGGCCTCTCACTGTTGTGGCCTCTCCCGTTGTGGAGCACAGGCTCCGGACGCGCAGGCTCGGCGGCCATGGCTCACGGGCTCAGCCGCTCCACGGCATGTGGGATTTTCCCGGACCGGGGCAACGAACCCATGTCCCCTGCATCGGCAGGTGGACTCTTAACCACTGTGCCACCAGGGAAGCCCCAGGAATCCTATTTTTAATCTATCTGCCAGAAAGAATTGAGAAACCAAAATCATGTAGTTTTTAACAGGAGAACCAGACCAAGACTGATCATTTTAACTGAATGGGTGAAGAATAACAATAACATCATCATAGTAATAATCTTCACTATAGACATTGGATAATCTTTTGAAGTTAAAAGGAAGGAAGGGAGAAAAAAGACCTAAGGGAACAGAAGAGAGAGAAACAGACACAGACACACACACAGACACACACACACACACAGACACCCTAATACTTCAGAGGTGGTGGAGATGAGGAGAGAGTAGACCCCACGTAGCCAGGAGAGGTGCTTGGAGCCAATATCACTCATTTATTATAAGCTCAAATCAGGTCATCTTAGTATGGTGGTGATTCATGATTTGTATGTAAGTTGTACCTTTTTAAAAAGATACATCATTTGATTCTGATGGTACTCCTATGATGTAAGTGTGTGAGGTAAGATATAAATGGATTTGACTTCTATGTCTTGTGTAGCCTCTTGCTTTTTTCCCCCACCTAATATCTTGGCCAGATATATCTTGTCACATCAGTACACAAAGATTTATCTCATTCATCGTAAACACTGTAGAGTATCCCACAGCGTGGGATAGACCCTGAGTGGTTTAGCCACTGACGACAATACACACTCTTGCACATATTTTTTGGTGAAGCTGTAGTTAAATCACCAGATTATGTTCCTCAGCAGAGGACAGGAAAGTGGACGACTCCACAAACAGCTGGCACCCTCGCTCCCACGTGGAGATTCCCCAGAACTGCTGTCGTGGTCAGACACTAGCAGGGTTGTGGCTCAGACTGCTGGGAGAAGCTGAAATGTCACCTGAGGACTCACCTGCTCCAGGTCCTCGGCTGACCTTTTGTTTTCTCCTGTGGGATCCTGATAGGGCAAGACAAAGAGCTCGGCAGCGGTGGGTAAGCCAGGGAGCACCGCCACCAAGATGTGCTGGCCCGGAACCGCGGTGGCCTGAGGGAGAGACACAGAGGCGCATGTGAGTCCTGCAGGAAAGCTGATGAGAAGGGACCAAGTGTTCAGCAGAGAGTTGGCGGGGGGAAGAAGACACAAAGGTGTGGAGGTAGGGCGGGAAAGTAGGGTCCTGGGTGTACCAGTTGGGGAGGGATGTGAGAGACACCACTGGGTACAAGTCAGACTCTGAGGTCTGGTCCTAGCTCCATCCTCGTGAGACCTGAAACACTTTGCATCTCCTCAAGTTAAAAAGTGGGAATAGCAGTACCTGTCTTGTATAAGTAAGTGGACCTTGCCAGTGAGAAGGCCGTCACTTACTGAGCTTTATCTTCTGCCTCTCATGCCTTAACACTTTCTAACCTAGCTTCCTTCTTCCTCAAAGCATTAAAGTTATTCTCCAGACTGACCAGGCATACCTCCATCACCTAACCTAACCCCAGACCACAGCCCCCAGGCGTCTGCTGAGTTCTCCACAGCGTCAGACCCTGATGACCATCCCGTTCCAGGAAGCACTCTCAGCCCTTCACTCTGCTGCACGGAATCGTCTATTAAAATCATAGATATCACTCACTCAAGAACTTCCTCTTTCCTGAGCCCACTCTCTAGATGGTTCTAGAATCCACGGCTAAAATCCTGGCTTCTCTCTCCAGGGGCCAAGTCAGAACGTCATTTGGTTGTTTTATGAGAACTTCTCATATTCACCCCGGAAATCTTCATTCTGCACGTGGATGACCGGAGCCACTCCTTTCCCAGATACCCTAGCTGGGAGCCTTATCTCGTGTCCAGCACCACACTCTCCTTTCCATGTCCTATCTAATCAGTCTATGAGACCTTGACAAGTCACCCTCCACACGAACGATCCTACTGGTTCCTTCCTGTTTAAATGCCCCCCCCCCCGTTAATATCTCAATTCAGCCTTTCCACTTTCTCCCTTCAAGTTTTAAAACAGCCTTCGCATCTCCAGGAGACAGGCTACTACTTCCAGATTTATCTTCCTACAGTCCAAAGCAGATTGTGTTTCCATGTCCAAATTCATGCACAAATTTCCACTGCCAACTGGGTTAAATATCTATTCAAAGCCTGCAATATGGTCCCACCTTTCCTTCCTAAACTAATTACCCACAACTCATAATGTCATCTTACGCTTAGCCAAATAGACTCACGTACAATTTCTCAGTATTCCAGCCTTTTCTTGCAAATGTTTTTGTGCATGCCATCTCCCCCAGAATGTCTTTTCTATACATTTGCTGCTAGAACATTACTTCTCCTTCATGAGCCCTCGTAAAGTTCTCTTATTTCAGAGTATTTTTCATGATTTCCCAATTAGATGATTGTTGGTTTCTGAAATCTACATTTATATTTTTTTCAAAGTAGCAGGAAATTCCATTTATTGGGTCCTTACCATGTGTCTGGCATTGTGCTAAGCAACTTCTTAATATAATGTAATGCGACACCCCACAGCGACTCTTTGGAGCAAGTGTTATTATGCCTCTCTGTACAGGTGAAGACAGATCACGGGTTGGGAGTCTTCAGGAAGCTGGCTCTGAGTTTAGTGCGTAGGGTGTTTATTAGGGGACATTCTTGGAATCAACATCTATAGGAGCGAAGGCCAGGAAGCAGGAATGGACAGAGGGAGAAGCTGAGCTGTGAAAAACACGAACAACAACCTCAGAAGATCCTGTAAGGAGTGAGAATGGCCCTTCAGATTTGTCTGAGGTTGCACTGAGTGGCCAGGCCTTTATACAACCACGTCATTGGACATGAGCCACTCCAAAAGGGACATGACATGGGGAAGGCCGCTGAAGCCTCTGCCCACAGCACTCCCAGCAGCTAAGATAACAGTCTTTCCCTGAATGGGGATCTGGGAGGGGCATCCCTATTTCTGCTACAGGACAGACAGTAGATGGAGGAAAGTTCAACATTGGCTCAGGGTCATCTAGGTAGTGAGTGGTGACACTTAGTTTGAAACCTTGGTCGGACCATAATGCCTCTGTCCTGAACCAGCGCTCTCCTGCCTTCCTTCTCCTGACACTTATCACAAAGCAGCTCCTATCCCGGCTGATATCATACTGTTTTACGGCCGTCCTAGATTTTTTTTTTTTTTTTTTTTTTGTGTTACGCGGGCCTCTCACTGTTGTGGCCTCTCCCGTTGTGGAGCACAGGCTCCGGACGCACAGGCTCAGTGGCCATGGCTCACGGGTCCAGCCACTCCGCGGCATGTGGGATCTTCCCGGACCGGGGCACGAACCCGCGTCTCCTGCATCGGCAAGCGGACTCTCAACCACTGCGCCACCAGGGAAGCCCCGTCCTAGATTTTAAACTCAAAGCTTATGTCTAAACCATCCTCGTTATCAACAAAACTGTTTACTGAATGACATTCAATTAAAGATTCCATTGCAAAATGTCAAAAGAAACATCCCAGCTGATGAGGAAAACACAGTCGATTTTATATCAAATTCTGTTACAGAATGAATAGGAAGAAAACTATAAATAAGTTGACTGCCGGCTGTACCTCTTATAGAGCTTATTAGGGGACACTTGGCAATAGAGTACTTCAGAACTTAAAGAAGTGGCCAAGTGTAATTACTGATCTCAAAGATAGGGTGGGGTGCTAGGAACCAGGGCTGGCTCAGCTGCCTCTTAGGAGTGGGTAACAAAGGAGCCTTTAAAGCTCCCTCCACCCCATCACCCCTTATCCTGAGGGCTGTTGAGCCAACCTGTTTGTTCTCCATTTAGCTGATTATGCTATGCAGTGGCCTAGAAATATTAATGAGCAGTCACTTCTAGCCTACTGGACAGCTGGTGGAAAGGTGGAGGCTCAGGGCATCTGAGCCCTAGACAATTAATGAGAAGAGAAATCAGCCTGGAAAACATCGCTGCTGCGCTAATGCCTGGTTGATAAATCACCTGGGGGTGTTGGATAGCTGCCTCGGAGATCTACAGGGACGTGGACCTCTAGAATGCCGCAGACTGAAGGAGGTGAGCTGTGGGTTCACTGAAGGGTGTAAGTCATCTCTCTTGGACAGCAGAGGAGAGAAACCAGTTGTCACACCAGGGACAAACAGCTCCAAAGGAAAAAGGGCCTGTTCCAGTTGGGCCTGTGGTCTGGTAGCTGCAGCCCCTGGTGGCCATAATGTTTAGCCACCAATAACGTCATAGATGCTGAGAGTCATTAAGAAAGATAAAGGTGAGATGGCATTTACCCAGAGGCACAGAAGATAACTCTTCTCCACCCCACTATTCCGTTTATTCCTGTCTCTCTATGTAACAAGACAAAGGATAGCAGCAGAGTGGAGCGGTAATCAAGATTCAAACCTTGATGGTCTGACTCCAGAGCCTGATTTCAAACTATACAGCATTGGGCAAGTTATCTGCCTCTAGATTCAGTTTTCTCACTTGTAAAGTGGGAATAATTATTCTATCTACATCATAAGCTAGGGGTTTTGTGATTAAATGTGTTTAAAAATGCAAAACACTGAGAAGAGTTTCTGGAATATTGTAAGTGCTGAATAAATATCAACAAAGATAATGGTATGAACACGGAGAAGGCCAGCTCTTTGCCAAAAGGCTGGATGCGAGATCTGTTTTCTGAGCAGGGGTTACCTGAATGCCTTTGTCTCTCCTTATCCCTTTGGGTCAGGAGACACCATGTGTTGGGTGCAGGAAAGAATGTATAACTAATCCTAAATTGACTTTTCTTTCGTGCTAAGAATAGACTTTAGGGAAAAGTCATCTCTGATTTTCTGGGTTTGTGCAATAAATCCGTGAGCAGATATCCCATTCCTCTGACTGTCCACGGAAGTGGAGTATGCAGGGGGGAATGTGCCTAGAAGAGGGTGTCTGGTCAGATTGTAGGTGACCTTTGCTCAGAGAGGGATGAACCACACCAGCTTGTTACTCTCCCAGGAACCGGATGAGGCTACGCTTCACATGTGAAAACCCAGACACGGGATTCAGATCCTTCACTTCAGTTTTGTAGCTCTGACACTTATTAGCTGTGAGGCTTTAGACAAGTTATTTAACTTCTCTGAACCTCAACTGCCTATTCTGCAAATGAAGACAATAATACTTTCTCTTTTTTTAAGCATCTTTTAGGTCCCCCCCCCCTTTTTTTTTTTGGCCATGCTACATGGCTTGCAGGATCTCAGTTCCCCAACCAGGAAACGAACCTGGGCCATGTAAGTGAAAGAGCTGAATCCTAACCATTAGACCACCAGGGAACTCCCAATAATACTTTCCTCTTGGGGCTGTCGTGGGAGAGAAATGCCATTAAAAGAACTGGGACATAGTAAGGTGACTACCCTCCTGTGCTGAGGGTTCACTGTGCTGTTGTGCTGGACATCCGTGAAGCTGGAACCCAGGCTGCTCTTACCAGTTGTATCCGTGCTGTGCCAGTATGATGCACAGGAGCTGTGTTTACATGTACCAATGGCTAATCATGAACTCTACCACGTGACTGTCACATATTTCCAGGGTTGTCGTCTCTAAGCAGAACAAGCGTTTCACAAGGGGTAAGGACCCCCTGATTACTCAATTTCATTTCCCCCCATAGCACCTGTGACGTGTCTGCACACATGGGGCTCAGCTTTGCAGGTATCAGACAGATGATGCCCACTTCCCCTGGCCTCCGGCTCTTTCCTCCCATTTATTTGAGCAAGGGTCCCCTCTCCATGAAGCTCGGTAAAGACAGAGAGGAAAAGGGTCTGGGCCAGAGGAGTTGTTTGCACTCACCTCCACCAGGGACTTCTTGATGACTCGGCTGATGTCTCTCCTCCACTCAGGGATGTCCGGGTTGTAGTCGTCCAGGTTTGGAGAAAAGGACAGGCGAAGAGATCGGAATTCCTCTGGAAATACAACAGTAGGCGGATTACTATAAATCAGATAGGTCTCTCAAGAAGTCTGTTGTACTTTATATTTTATGCAAAGCCCTAATGGAGGGTCCTTTTCCTTCATACTCAACAGAGAGACCTTACTACAAGGCAAGTTCAATATCCCATCCCTCTTACCTCTCAGCTCCTTTTCCAGACCAAAGCCCTGGTCTGTGGCCCATGCTTAGCTCCACAGCCTTGTGCATTGTTCCCAGTTCTAGCCCCTGCACTCCTGGACACTAATTGTGCACACCTGAAGTGCCCTGACAGCATCGCAGGTTTATGTCTCTGGGCCTTTTTGCACACGCTGCCCCTTGCCTAGAATGCCCCATCCTTCTCACCTTCTGTGCACACAACATTCAAGCTCTAGTTCAAGCATTTACTGACTGAATGATCTCCCCCACCATATTCTGATTTTCTTTCTTCTGGTACAACTGTGTTGGGCACATACCTTCACTACATCATCATTACATCATAATAATTATTATATGATTATATAATTATAGTCATCATTGTAGTCATTCTACTGCTAAATTCTGTTTATATGGAAGTTTCATTTAAAGGAATTTTCAGGTCTTTAATTCAAGGCTTTTGTTAGTTGGCACAGTAGCCCCTGAGTTAACCTTGGACATCCAGGAAGTAGATGGAATTATAAAAGCAAGGATTTTGTGCAGAAATAAAAGAATTCTCTTGTCTGTAAGAGAATATGGGGAGGAAGTCAGAGGAGCTTGAAGCACCGCCAGACCGTGATGCATACATAACACTTAGTGCAAGAGCGGGAGGAAGGTTCAGCGAGGCTGATGGGAAGTCCACGAGCCAAAGTCAGCCAGAGGAGCCCCACGTCCCAGGAATGGGTTCGCCCTAGTATTCCTGCCGCACTCAGTCACTGGCTGGCTGGCATGGCGTTGGCCCTAGCACGATGATGAGTTTCAGAGCACAGCCCTGGGGGGTCTTAGCACAGGGTATACTCAGACCACATCGCTCCCCTGAAATCTGCTGGAGGCTCCACATTGCATTTTGAGTAAGATTCCGATTCATATCATGGCCTTCATAGTCTCACACAATCCAGTGCCGACCTTCCCTCCTGTCTTATGTCCCTTAGGCTGCCCTGCACTCCACGACCCCGTCCTTCCCTGTGTTCCTCAATATGCCGTGTTCCTTCCCATGTTAGCACACCTCCAAGTCCCAGATGACAGCCTTCTCGGCTCCTTTTCAGCCTTCAGTCTCTCCTGGGAGAAACCCCTCCCACCAGCAACCTCAGGTATCCTCCCTTTCACCAACTCTAACACCTTTCACCATATGACCCTATTTGTCTTCTTTATTCTTCTTGCCTTTAAAATTATTTTGTTTTGGGGGGTAAGCGGGGGAGGGACAAATTGGGAGATTGGGATTGACCTACACAAACTACTATATATACAATAGATAACTAATAAGGACCTACTGTCTGGCACAGGGAACTTTACTCAATATTCTGTAATGACCTATATGGGAAAAGAATCTAAAACAGAGTGGAGATATATATGTATAAAACTGATTCACTTTGCTGTACACCTGAAACTAACACAACACTGTAAATCAACTATACTCCAATAAAAATATAAATAAATAAATCATTTGGTTTTTTTACTGTCTGTCTCCCACAAAAGAATATTAGTTCAATGAGGACGAGGGCACTGTGTTCCTGGCCCTTTGGGACAGTGCCCAGTTCATGTTAGATCTTCAATGACTAGGAGTCATTTAATTAATTAGTTTGTTGAATAAATAAATGCATAAGTATCAGTGGAGGCTCTCTGTAATTTATGCATTTTATTATTCAACAAACATTTCTTTCTTGTTTTAGGCATGTTCTGGTGTTTCACGAGGGGTTTAGCAACATCGGCAATGCCGATGACACGTTCAGGAAACACAAAAACCCACTCGTGCGTTTCCTAACACTGCTAAAGATTTATTAGGCGCAGGCACTGAAGACTCTTACATGATCAGGCCTGTACTTATGGCAGTCAGCTTACTCCAAACATGTATTTTTCAAAGTCTGACTATTTTATGAGTCACTGGCCACCTAGGTGAATATCCCCATTTCAGTTCTGATGGAGAAGAATGAAACGCATACTAATTAGTAGGACGGTAAATGGCAGCCCAAGGAATCACCCACTGAGTCCTAACTTTTCACTTTGAAGATGTATGTGTATGTCATTTTCACTTTCCCCAAGCCTCTTAACCAAACTGTGGAGACTTCACCTCAAAAGAAGATATTTATCTTAATAAAAAGACACAAATGAGAAAAATGGTGCAGCTCCCTTTGTAATTCCTTAGCATGCTAAACAGCAGTGCAGAGAAATGTTATGCCTAAGTTTATTCAACAAATAGGGGATGCATATGGGAGGACTGAAAAGGGTAAACACCAGTAATATATGTATTTTTTGCAGCTGCTGAGAGATGAAGTCTGTACATTTACATTTTATTTTTTGTATTTAAAGGCAAACCTGAGCCCTGAAGCAAATTAAGGAAAACCATGCAAACTAAATTTTCTTGTCTCCAGTCTCTTGTGTGCCTTTGGGCAGACAATCTTTCCTCTGTCGACTTCCCAAATATGATACCTCCTTCAGTCTGACCATAATGGTCTTAACTTTCCCCTCAGCTTAATTAAACTTTAGACAGGTTTCTTCGGGAATTCAGGCTCTGACCTCCCTTTTCTTAGGGCATCTACTTTAGAAACTTGCAATTGTAAATTCTTCCTCTGCACCTTTGAGATGTAAATCTTCTGCAATCCAGGAATGCCTTTCTCAAGGACCTGGAAGCCATCTCTGAAATGACATACAGATTGCCAACAAACACATGAAAAGATGCTCAACATCACTAATTAACAGAGAAATGCAAATCAAAACCACAATGAGGTATCACCTCACACTGGTCAGAATGACCACCATCAAAAAATCTACAAACAATAAATGCTGCAGAGGGTATGGAGAAAAGGGAGCCCTCCTGCACTGTTGGTGGGAATGTAAATTAATACAGCCACTATGGAGAACAGTAAGGAGGTTCCTTAAAAAACTAAAAATAGAACTACCATACAAGCCAGCAATCCCACTACTGGGTATATACCCTGAGAAAACTATAACTCTAAAAGATAGGGGCTTCCCTGGTGGCGCAGTGGTTGAGAGTCCGTCTGCCGATGCAGGGGACATGGGTTCGTGCCCGGTCCAGGAAGATCCCACATGCTGTGGAGCGGCTGGGCCTGTGAGCCATGGAGGCTGAGCGTGCGCGTCCGGAGCCTGTGCTCCGCAACGGGAGAGGCCACAACAGTGACAGGCCCGCGTACCGCAAAAAAAAAAAAAAAGATACATGTACCACAATGTTCATTGCAGCACTATTTACAATCGCCAGGACGTGGAAGAAACCTAAATGTCCATCGACAGATGAACCAACAAAGAAGATGTGGAATATTACTCAGCCATAAAAAGGAATGAAATTCAGTTATTTGTAATGAGGTGGATGGACCTAGAGTCTGTCATACCGAGTGAAGAGTCAGAAAGAGAAAAACAAATACCAGATGCTACCGCACATATGTGGAATCTATAAATACGGTACTAATGAACCTTTATTCCTACAGGGCAGGAATAAAGATGCAGATGTAGAGAATGGACTTGAGGACACAGGGTGGGAAGGGGAAGCTGGGACGAAGTGAGAGAGTAGCATTGACATCTATATACACTACCAAATACAAAATGGATGGCCAGTGGGAAGCTGCTGCATAGCACAGGGAGATCAGCTCGATGCTTTGTGACCACCTAGAGGGGTGGGATAGGGAGGGTGGGAGGGACACGTAAGAGGGAGGGGATATGGGGATCTATGTATACATATAGCTGATTCACTTTGTTGTACTACAGAAACTAACACAACATTGTAAAGTAATTATATTCCAATAAAGATACATATATATATATATATATATATATATATATAAAGAAAGGAAAGATAGCACCCCTGCCTCTGGGAGGGTAGGAGCCTATCTTCCCTAAGCACCAATTAGCAAACACCTGTGGCTTAACCACACTGATAATCCCCTCCCCGCAGAGTCCTTTAGCTTATCCCAGAGTTTAAAACTATTCCTGCCATTTGTTTCTGTTGAATTCAATCTTGCCTGTTTAACACCCTGTGATGCAATTTTCCTTTAATAGGTCATGCCTGTCCTTAGAATTTTCTAGTTATATATATGAAACTCTGGACAACCCACCTGACTGAAGATGAATTAAGGATGTTGGATGGCTCAGGAATTTGGTTAGAGGAGGGAGAGACCACTCTCCCTGCTCAAACTTTTAGTTAAGAAATGCTTTTTAATGAAGAGAACCCATATGATGGAGAATGACCCACTCTCGATGATGCCTTTAGAAGGATTTTAGGAAGAGGAAGAACTAAGCACAGCAAGGGATAGAAGGTTTCCATGAAACTAGATTCAGAGTTATACTTACCAGATTATTCAGATTATATTTATCCCCATATTTTGTCACTTGTATAACAGGGGTAATCATAGCATATTTCTCATAAGTCTGTTCAGAGGATTCAATAAAACAGATCATATATATCAAATGCTTAGAACAGATGCTGATAAAGGATCCATCAACATTAATTTCTACCACTACCATCATCATCATTATTATTATCATTAGATCTGTTACTGAATAGCAGAATGACTTTAAGCCAGTAGTTTCCCATTTTGGGGCCACAATTTCCTAACTGTGAAATAATGGATTGGACTAGGTAAGTCCAAAGACCTTCTAGATTTAAAGTTCTGTCTGTGGTTCGAATGAGGAGATAGCTGTTGGACTAATGGGTCAGTGTCCATTAGTGACACTGGTGAAATCCAGGAGGGAGAGACGAAAGAGAGCATCCGATGGAAAAGACATGAGAGCCAAACATGTAGGGTAATTTCGGAGCATGGGCCCTGGGTCTAGAAGGGGTGGGCTGGAAGCTCAGCTCCACCACTTACTAGCTGGGGCAAGTTATTTACCTCTCTGAAAAAAATGAGAGTAATAATATTGGCTACCCTGCACTACGATTGTTATGAGAATTAAATGCATTTCCAGAGCGTAGAAAGGAGATGGAGAGGAAAGAGAAACAAAAGCTCTCCTCCATTAGGGCCACCTGGCTAAGAGGTCGCCTTACTGATGGGACCTTGTAGGAAAACCACAGCCCTGGTTTACTTTCACTTAGTGTTGGGGCTTATCAAGTCTCTTCAGGAAGGGGAGAGGGAGGAAACATTACGTAATCTAACAGGCAGCCATGCAAGAGGAAGAGTGTCCTCAGACACATTCAAAGTTGCTTACAAATTACTTTCTGAATTTGAAGGTCAAGTTAGCAAGATGAGAAACGAAAAACAGAACCTGCATCAGAATCAATTAACTCTGGAACTGGAACAATTGATATTGTTTGGACCACGAGCTAGTGTGTGTCTCTGTCTCTGTCTCTCCATCCCTCTCAACCTCTGTCTCACCTTCCCTCCCTCCCTCCCCTGAGCCTCTCTCTTGCCCTCTCTCTGCACAGCATTTATTTCCCCATCTATCTCCTTTTAAATTCCTGCTTTTTAAATTTTAATTTTCCGGGATGCATTAGTACCGCTTTCATATTAACAACAAAAGTTCATATTTTTACCATCTACTAAAGCACCTAGTGCAGATCCATCTGACTATCTTTCTATGCAGAAAAAAATTAGCAAAATGAGATCAATTTGTATAAACTGTTTTCCACCAAGGTTTCCACCTTTTCCATTTCAGTAAATTTTCACTCCATGTAACACCTTGACCACATTCAATTTCCCCAACTGGTTACCACATTGTTCTGTACAGCTGTTTGTTCAAACTAATATCTAGGCTACAATGATGCACATGTGCTTGTTATGACCCTTTCTTCACTTTTAGACTAGCAGAGTGTTTTATAAAGGATACATATTTGCAGAAGAGCTTTTCAGAGCATTTAGACATTGGCAGATTCTTCTTAATGATCAAGACTCTTGAAGTTGAACTTTAAAAATAAAAGCCTCAATATTAACCTCTTTTTTTTATAATAGGTTTTAGCTCTTTGAATACCACCAAAATACCAAATGGAATGAATCAGCCTTACACATAATGAAACTCACTCTTCTCTACCTAAGGGAGGTGGGCGTACAGTCGTTCTATGGGCACCAAAGCCAGTTTGAAAAAAAAAGCAATAAACCCTCTTGCGGTTTTGTGACCACTATGTTGCTGGTGAACCGTATCTTCCCCAGAGGAGGAGATGAGCCTTGACTCAGCTCTTTCTCAACCACTACCCTCTGTTCCCTGGGAAGATTCATAGCGAGGATGGCTTCCGGCACCAAGGTACCAAAGCACCTCATCTGAGGGATGGATGAGGGCAGTGATGGATCAGCAGACAGACCACTCACCGTACACTGCGATGGTCTTCGTGTCCTGCAGGATGGCATTCCCAGCTGAGACTTGCACTGTGATGGTGTTCATCCCTTCAGAAGTAAACTTGAATGATATGCTTCCCTCCAAGGTGATCAGGGGCTAAAACAAATGAGGCCACAGAGTGAAGGGACAGCTGTTCAATTACAGATGAGATAGGCACCAGCTCTGAGCCACTGACAAGCTCTTTAAATCAGCGGAAGCTCTTTCTGGGGCATTCCATGTGACTAACTCCACCTATGCCTCCCCATCACCTCAAGTTCAGGCCAGAAAGGGACTATTAGAGACATGATGCCAAGAAACTCTACTCATTCTTTGTGAATTTGACACCTCCTTTCTGCTATCATCCTGATTCAGGGCTGGGGAGATCCATAGGTCTTACTTGCTGGTGGGACATATCTCTCTTTGTTGATAACCTACTTGTATCAAGCAAATCCCTTAATCTGAGGCAATATTAAAGAGGGGGTTCATATTAATCCAGATTTAAGCAGTAGTCACTGAAAGTCTACAAGGTGCCAGTGCTCCTCTAAAGGGTGTACTATGTATATAAAATTACAGTGGAACACAGCAACTACAGACACCAAACTACACTAGTTAGACAGATGTGGCCTTGTGCGGCTCGGCTTCCTCTGAGAAGCCGTATCAGCAGTTTCCTGGAAGGAGCTGCTATGGAAACATGTACTAATTGGACAGTGGTTTGCGGACTCAAAAAAGAAAAAGAAAGACTTGGAGCAGTGCCTGTAATGCAATTAGATACCAGGGTCCTAGAGGAAAAAGATTATTAGCCTACTGACCTCCCTCGACTAACTCCCCACAAACATTTCATTCCTGTCTTTCCTTAATTAATTTACAAATCAAAATTCATTTAACTCCCTGTGTAGCAGAGGGTAGACTAAAGCCCAGCATAAAAATTCTACTTGAGTCTGGGCTCTATATCCAATGCAACCCAACTACAGGCAGTTTCAGAACCCAGGCAAGGGGGAAAACACATGCTCAAAGTCTGAAAGTTCTTAACATACAAGCTATGCATGGAAGATTGGAGTGAACTTACCCACCACCTTCAGAGGCAGTGAAAAAGCAGTGACTCAAGGGGCCGTGTATATGGCTGAAAGAAGTTGGAAACTTCTGTCTGAGGAAAGGAAAACCCTTAGAAATCTGAGCCATGTGGCTGACAGGGTCTTGGGGCTCTGGCCGGGTGTCAGGCCTGAGCCTCGGAGGTGGGAGAGCCGAGCTCAGGACACTGGACCACCAGAGACCTCCTGGCTCCACGTAACATCAATTGGTGAGAGCTCTCCAAGAGATCTCTGTCTCACTGCTAAGACCCAGCTCCACTCAATGACCAGCAAGCTCCAGTGCTGGACATCCCATACTAAACAACTAGCTAGACAGGAACACAACCCCATCCATTAGCAGAGAGGCTGTCTAAAATCATACTAAGTTCACAGACACCGCAAAACACACCACCAGATGCGGTCCTGCCCACCAGAAAGACAAGATCCAGCCTCATCCACCAGAACACAGGCACCAGTGCCCTCCACCAGGAAGCCTACACAACCCACTGAACCAAGCTTAGCCACTGGGGGCAGACACCAAAAACAACGGGAAATATGAACCTGAAGCCTGAGAAAAGGAGACCCCAAACACAGTAAGTTACGCAAAATGAATAAACAGAAAAACGCAGCAGATAAAGGAGCAAAGTAAAAACCCACTAGAACAAACAAATGAAGAGGAAATAGGCAGTCTACCTGAAAAAGAAGTCAGAGTAATGATAGTAAACATGATCCAAAATCTTGGAAAAGAATGGAGAAAATAAAAGAAACGTTTAACAAGGACCAAGAAGAACTAAAGAGCAAACGAACAATGATGAATAACACAATAAATGAAATTAAAAATTGTCTAGAAGGAATCAATAGCAGAATAACTGAGGCAGAACAGATAAGTGACCTGGAGGATAAAATCGTGGAAATAACTACTGCGGAGCAGAATAAAGAAAAAGAATGAAAAGACTGAGGACAGTCTCAGAGACCTCTGGGACAACACTAAATGCACCAACATTCGAATTATAGGGGTTCCAGAAGAAGAAGAGAAAAAAAAGGGTATGAGAAAGTATTTGAAGAGATTATAGTCGAAAACGTCCCTAATATGGGAAAGAAAATAGTCGATCAACTCCAGAAGTACAGAGAGTCCTATATAGAATAAATCCAAGGAGAAACAAGACACATATTAATCAAACTATCAAAAATTAAATACAAAGAAAAAATACTGAAAGCAGCAAGGGAAGAGCAACATAAAACATACAAGGGAATCACCATAAGGTTAACAGCTGACCTTTCAGCAGAAACTCTGCAAGCCAGAAGGGAGTGGCAGGACATATTTAAAGTGATGAAAGGTAAAAACCTACAAACAACATTACTCTACCCAGTAAGGATGTCATTCAGATTTGAGAGAGAAATTAAAACCTTTACAGACAAGCAAAAGCTAAGAGAATTCAGCACCAACAAACCAGCTTTACAACAAATGCTAAAGGAACTTCTCTGGGAAGGAAACACAAGAGAAGGAAAAGACCTATAATAACAAACCCAAAACAATTAAGAAAATGATAATAGGAACATACATATCGATAATTACCTAACATGTAAATGGTTTAAATGCTCCAACCAAAAGACACAGACTGGCTGAATGGATACAAAAACAAAACCCATATATATGCTGTCCACAACAGACCCACTTCAGACCTAGGGACACATACAGACTGAAAGTGAGGGGATGGAAAAAGATATTCCATGTAAATGGAAATCAAAAAAAGCTGCAGTAGCAATTCTCATATCAGACAAAATAGACTTTAAAATAAAGACTATTACAAGAGACAAAGAAGGACACTACAGAATGATCAAGGGATCAATCCAAGAAGAAGATATAACAATTGTAAATATTTATGCACCCAACATGAGCACCTCAGTATATAAGGCAAATGCTAAGAGCCATAAAAGGGGAAATCGAGTAACACAATAATAGTAGGGGACTTTAACACCCCACTTTCACCAATGGACAGATCATCCAAATGAAAATAAATAAGGAAACACAAGCTTTAAATCATACATTAAACAAGATGGACTTAATTGATATTTATAGGACATTCCATCCAAAAACAACAGAATACACTTTCTTCTCAAATGCTCATGGAAAATTCTCCAGGATATATCATATCTCGGGTCACAAATCAAGTCTTGATAAATTAAGAAAACTGAAATTGCATCAAGTATCTTTTCCGACCACAACATTATGAGACTAGATATCAATTACAGGAATATATCTGTAAAAAATACAAACACATGTAGGCTAAACAATAAACTACTAAATAACCAAGAGATCACTGAAGAAATCAAAGAGGAAATCAAAAAATACCTAGAAACAAATGACAATGAAAACATGACGACCCAAAATCTATGGCATGCAGCAAAAGCAGTTCTAAGAGGGAAGTTTGTAGCAGTACAATCCTACCTCAAGAAACAAGAAACATTTCTAATAAACAACCTAACCTTACGCCTAAAGCAATTAGAGAAAGGAGAACAAAAATACCCCAAAGTTAGCAGAAGGAAAGAAGTCATAAATATCAGATCAGAAATAAATGAAAAAGAAATGAAGGAAATGATAGCAAGGATCAATTAAACTAAAAGCTGGTTCTTTGAGAAGATAAACAAAATCAATAAACCATTAGCCAGACTCATCAAGAAAAAAAGGGACAAGACTCAAGTCAATAGAATTAGAAATGAAAAAGGAGAAGTAACAACTGACACTGCAGAAATACGAAGGATCATGAGAGATTACTACAGGCAACTATATGCCAATAAAATGGATAACCTGGAAGAAATGGACAAATTCTTAGAAAAGTATAATCTTCTGAGACTGAACCAGGAAGAAATAGAAAATATAAACAGACCAATCACAAGCACTGAAATTGAAACTGTGATTAAAAATCGCCCAAAAAACAAAAGCCAGGGACCAGATGGATTCACAGGCAAATTCTACCTAACATTTAGAGAAGAGCTAACACCTATCCTTCTCAAAATCTTCCAAAATATACTAGAGGGAGGAACACTCCCAAACTCATTGTACAAGGCCACCATCACCCTGATGCCAAAACCAAACAAAGATGTTACAAAAAAAGAAAAATAGAGGCCAATATCACTGATGAACGTAGATGTAAAAATCCTCAACAAAATACTAGCAAACAGAATCCAAGAGCACATTAAAAGGATCATACACCATGATCAAGTGGGGTTTATCTCAGGAATGCAAGGAATCTTTGATACATGGAAATCAATCAATATGATACCCTATATTAACAAATTGAAGGATAAAAACCATATGATAATCTCAACAGATGCAGAAAAAGCTTTTGACAAAATTCATCACCAATTTATGATAAAAACTCTCCAGAAAGTAAGCATAGAGAGAACTTATCTCAACATAATAGAGGCCATATATTACAAACCCACAGCCAACATCATTCTCAATGGTGAAAAGCTGAAACCATTTCCACTAAGACGAGGAACAAGACAAGGCTGCCCACTCTCACCACTATCATTCAACAGCAATCAGAGAAGAAAAATAAATAAAAGGAATCCAAATCAGAAAAGAAGACATAAAACTGTCACTGTTTGCAGATGACATGGTACTATACATAGAGAATCCTTAAGATGCTACTAGAAAACTACTAGAGCTAATCAATGAATTTGGTAAAGTAGCAGGATACAAAATGAATGCACAGAAATCTCTTGCATTCCTGTACACTAATGATGAGAAATCTGAAAGACAAATTAAGGAAACACTCCCATTTACCACTGCAACAAAAAGAATAAAATACCTAGGAATAAACCTACCTAAGGAGACGAAGACCTGTATGCAGAAAACTATAAGACACTGATGAAAGAAATTACAGATGACAGAACAGATGGAGAGATGTACCATGTTCTTGGATTGGAAGAATCAACATTGTGAAAATGACTATACTTCCCAAAGCAATCTATAGGTTCAATGCAATCCCTATCAAACTGCCAATGGCATTTTTCACAGAACTAGAGCAAAAAATTTCACAATTTGTATGGAAACACAAAAGAGCCCGAATAATCAAAGCAATCTTGAGAAAGAAAAATGAAGCTGGAGGGTCTTCCCTAGTGGTGCAGTGGTTGAGAATCTGCCTGCCAATGCAGGGGACACGGGTGCGAACCCTGGCCTGGGAAGATCCCACATGCCGCGGATCAACTAGGCCCGTGAGCCACAACTACTGAGTCTGTGCGTCTGGAGCCTATGCTCCACAACAAGAGAGGCCACGATAGTGAGAGGTCCGCACACCATGATGAAGAGTGGCCCCACTTGCCGCAACTAGAGAAAGCCCTCGCACAGAAATGAAGACCCAACACAGACAAAAATAAAAATAAATAAATAAAAAATTTTAAAAAATGAAGCTGGAGGAATCAGACTCCCTGACTTCAGACTATACTATAGTATAGTAATCAAGACAGTATGGTATTGGCACAAAAACAGAAAGACAGATCAATGGAACAGGATAGAAAGCTCAAAGATAAACGCACACACATATGGTCACCTTATCTTTGATAAAGGAGGCAAGAATATACAATGAAGAAAAGACAGCCTCTTCAAATAAGTGGTGCTGGGAAAACCGGACAGCTACATGTTAAAGAATGAAATTAGAACATTCCCTAACACCATACACAAAAATAAACTCAAAATGGATTAAAGACCTAAATGTAAGGCCAGACACTATAAAACTCTCAGAGGAAAACATAGGCAGAAAGCTCTATGACATAAATCACAGCAAGATACTTTTAGACCCACCTCCTAGAGAAATGGAAATAAAAACAAAAATAAACAAATGGGACCTAATGAAATTTGAAAGCTTTTGCACAGCAAAGGAAACCATAAACAAGATGAAAGGACAGCTCTCAGAATGGGAGAAAATATTTGCAAATGAAGCAACTGACAAAGGATTAATCTCCAAAATTTACAAGCAGCTCATGCAGCTCAAAAAAACAAACCCAGGGCTTCCCTGGTGGCGCAGTGGTTGAGAGTCCGCCTGCCGATGCAGGGGACACAGGTTCGTGCCCCGGTTCAGGAGGATCCCACATGCCACGGAGCAGCTGGGCCCATGAGCCATGGCCGCTGAGCCTGCGCGTCTGGAGCCTGTGCTCCGCAACGGGAGAGGCCACAACAGTGAGAGGCCCGTGTACCGCAAAAAAAAAAAAAAACAATCTAAGAATGGGCAGAAGACCTAAATAGACATTTCTCCAAAGAAGATATACAGATTGCCAACAAACACATGAAAGGATGCTCAACAACATTAATCATTAGAGAAATGCAAATCAAAACTACAATGCGTATCACCTCACACCAGTCAGAATGGCCATCATCAAAAAATCTACAAACAATAAATGCTGAAGAGGGTGTGGAGAAAAGGGAACCCTCTTGCACTGTTGGTGGGAATGTAAATTGATACAGCCACTATGGAGAACAGTATGGAGGTTCCTTAAAAAACTACAAATAGAACTACCATATGACCCAGCAATCCCACTACTGGGCATATACCCTGAGAAAACCATAATTCGAAAAGAGTCATGTACCACAGTGTTCATTGCAGCTCTATTTACAATATCCAGGACATGGATGCAAACTAAGTGTCCATCAACAGATGAATGGATAAAGAAGAAGTGGCACATATATACAATGGAATATTACTCAGCCATAAAAAGAAACGAAATTGAGTTATCTGTAGTGAGGTGGATGGACCTAGAGACTGTCATACAGTGTGAAGTAAGTCAGAAAGAGAAAAACAAATACCGTATGCTAACACATATACATGGAATCTAAACAAAAAAAACAAAGTGGTTCTGAAGAACCTGGAGGCAGGACAGGAATGAAGACGCAGACGTAGAGAATGGATTTGAGGACACAGGAAGGGGGAAGGGTAAGCGGAGACGAAGTGAGAGAGTGACATTGACATATATACATCATCAAATGTAAAATAGCTAGTGGGAAGCAGCTGCATAGCACAGGGAGATCAGCTCGGTGCTTTGTGACCACCTAGAGGGGTGGGATAGGGAGGGTGGGAGGGAGACGCGAGAGGGAGGGGATATGGGGATATATGTATATGTATAGCTGATTCACTTTGTAAATACAGCAGCAAGTATCACAACAATGAAAAGCAATTATACTCCAATAAAGATGTTTAAAAAATTGAAAAAAAGAAGCCTACTGAACATAATCTGTTGAGAATTTGGTTTTCTTCTAAAAGCTTAAGAAAAAACAAAAAAAAAAGAAGTTGTTTAGTACTGTCAACTTCTAGTACTAGCTTTCAGGCAAATAAATAGATTTCTCTTCTATTGGGCCCAATTTACATGCATGGTTTCATAAGAAATAAAAAAGGGTTTCTTTTCAGTTGATTTATGTCAGCAGTAGAGGTGAGAGATTCCTTTGACTGTCAGGCATGCAGCAGGTCGGGTGTCAGGAGAGGTTTCCTCCCTAGGCTTGTGCAAAAGTATGGCTCCAGTTAAAGCCAACACTCAGCTCTGAAGTAGAAGATTTGTATTCACATAAGATGCATTGCGTTTGAAGAGCAAAGTCACAAGCGAAAGCAACTCTGCTGGAAGGAGATGACGCTTTCCAGTCCAGAGTAGTTGGTCCCAGGGCCCTCTGGGAAGGGAGGCTTCGGGGCCTGAGTTCTACTGCCTTTAACTAACATTTGCAAGCAAATTTTAATTTCTGAGAATGGAGTGAATTCCAAACTGAAACAGAGCATGAAGCCTGGTGTGAGGGGAAGAAAAACCCAGGCAGGCCCGAGAAGGTCTTGGATCTGCGTGAAGCAGCTGAATGAAACTGGAGGAAGCCACTTCACCTGTCCTCACTTTCTCATCTGTAAAATGAAGGACAGAGTAAATGAGGTCTAAGGTTTCTACTGGTGTTGAAACTGCTGCCCACTTTGGATCACAGGGAATATTTGGGGGAAACAGAAAGCTGAGCTAAAGAAGGGGCTGTGTCTGATCCAGGGTGAGGGGGTCACGGCGGGGAGCTGGGTTGCACAGACATCTGTGGCTCTTGCCTGTCTGGTGTCCACTGGCCTCTTTTCCTTTCGAGGGCCATTCCCTCCCTTCTCTTGGTCTAGATGGATCTAGGGAGGCTGACTTCAGCAGCTCTGTTTCTGTCCCCAGCACCGTGGTCAAGGCCTGGCCGACATTACTCCGTTCTGGGACTTCTGTTAGAACTTTGGGGAAAGACGGCTTGTTTTCTCTGAAAGCTCAGGCTCCTGCTAAGGGTCACTGCAGAGCAAAGCCCAGCTGGAGGAGAAGGCTAACTCAGAGGAAGGCAGAGATAACGCATGCACAGTACTATATATAAAACAGATAACTAGTAAGGACCTACTGTATAGCACAGGGAATTCTATTCGATACTCTGTAATGGCCTATATGGGAAAAGAATCTAAAAAAGAGTGGACGTACGTATAACTGACTCACTTTGCTGTACACCTGAAGCTAATACAACATTGTAAATCCACTATACTCTGATAGAAATTAAAAAAAAAAAAAAGAGGTAGGGGCACAGTGGTGAGAGAGACAGAGACTGACGAGATGACTGGGGCACTCGGAGCCCACCGTCCCCGGAGCCGCGACAACCTCTAGTCTCTTGAGTCACATGAGCCATGACTTTCTTTCCCTTTCGCACTTTGGCCAGTTTGCGTGGAGCCGCACGAAGCCCGTGTGGAAGCGACCCACCTCGGTGTTATTTCCGTACCACCACACGTAAGTGAGCGTGCCCACTTGGCTGGGCCACAACACCGCAGTCGCGTTGACCTCTTTGTTCTTCGTGGTGACGAAGGGAAGAGACAGGTGTACATGCTCCAGGGGACCTGAGGCACAAGAAGAGAGGGGAGGCTTGGAGAGGGAAGAGCTCTCTCTGCTTCACCTGCCTTCCCTGATATGAAGAGAATACGCATTCCTTCTGGAAGCCTCCCAACCATCAGTAGGGTTCCCTGAAGGAAGTGCTCGGGTGCTGTCCCTACTCTGGGGAAAAGGATATGTTGTGAACAGTTGTGTCTCCACATTTTCCATTTACCAATCTTTCTTCCAGGCCTAAAACTTGAGTTATTTACGTGTAAAAGTTTAAAAACTTACAAGTAATTGAAGAAGTCCTTAAGGGAACAGGCGTAACATGAGATTTCACAGGGAGATGCAAAGTGTTTCCAGGAAGTTATATTCTTGGTGGTAAACCAGGATTGTGAAAACCTCCGAGAATCCACGTGGGATGGGGGTTAGGGGTTGGTGGTGGTTCTTATACGAATCCCCAAACCATTCTACATGTAATTATTCTTTATTCTTTACTGGATTTTAAATGTGTGTGTGAGTGTCTGTAAACGTGCATGTTTGTATGTAACTGTGAGTGTGTGTTTGTGTGAGTGTGTGTAAAGCCACCCGGTTAGGTAAGCGTGGTGTTGAGTTGAGCTTGTCCAGGACAAAGGCAGGCATGAGGGGGCAGAGAGAGCTCTGTGGTCCTCAGGTTCTCAGGATGCGCTCAGCTGAAAAAGAGGATGATTCTACCTATGGAGGCCCATTAGACCAGAAACCTTCATCAGATGTACAAACCCACAAAGATACAAATATCCCCTCCCTAGAGACCTATCCTATGACCCCTGACCTTCTCTTTGAGTTACTTTTACCAGACAAAATGCATTTTCTTTTGAGGTGAACATGACAAAAATCCATCATCCCCATCTTTATCCCATGAGGTGGAGAAGGATGTGGTACCTCAGGCCTTTGCACCTGGTTTAATTACTTCCTCCTCTTCTGCTTGACCATTTAATGTGTCTCCTAGGGTACTGTCTTCGGCCTTTCTCTCCCTCCATCTACTCTTCTGCTGAGTAATACCATCCACACCCTGACCTTAAACTGTGAACTATATGCTTAGGGCTCCAAAACCACCTTCTTGACTCCAGACTCAATTAGCAGCCAAAGGTTCCCTAGAAATCCACTGTTTCCCCCCAATCTGTATTCTCCAATCTTGATCAATGACCAATGTTTATCCAGGGGAACCCAGAAGCAGACAGTCAATCCCAATTCCTTATTTCTCTGCCATCCATATCCATTGAGGAAACCATTGATTTGGTTTCATAAATTCTCTCTCAGGTAGAGCTCTTCTCACCCTGCCCTGGTTCATACACTAAAAACCTGTCTCACGTGGACTGGTACAAACTCTCCTACAGGTTTTCCAGCCTCTAACCTTTCCCCACTCTAATCTGTCCTCCTGCTCTATGCATTCAACGCCTGCCTCCCTCCATAATACATAAGTTGGACCAAGTGCCAGGTGGCCCCATCGCTTAGATATGCTCCAGGGCGAGGGCAGAGCAAGTACAAAGACCTTGAGGAGGAGGTGGCTCTCCATGTTTAAAGAATAGCAAGAAATAGAGAAATAAATGGAGAAAAAGAGTGGAAGCAGATGCGATCTCAGGGGTATTCAGGACATAGAGCATGTTGGCCTTGTTGGCCCTGAAATATGTATATGTGTGTTTGCATAACTTCATTCTGTATAACGTGTATATATATATATATATATATATATATATATACATACATTCATACAATGTATAGCGATGACTATGTACCTTCTTACCCTTCAAATTGTTGTGAGAGTGATTTTTCTAGAAAGCCATGCTACTCACTTGATCAAGATGAAAATTCCCGTTACCTAATTATAATAATAATGAGAGCTAACATGTACAGATCTAAAATTTGTGATAAAGAGAACACAGGCTGCAAACTTTTGGAGGGCGAGAGTCCTTCATATTTATCTTTACGTGTAAGGATGTGCACAGTTCTTGAGACGTAGCAGGTACTGGAACATTGGCTGTGTAAGTGAACAGAAACATATACTTTCCTATTTCTGCTTTTGTCCATGTTTTTCTTTCTTTATAGATTAGAGGCTTGGTGACCAGCAAACAGAGTAGAATTGATTTTCTGGTTTATAAGCCATATGATAAGAAGTAGTTGATCTTAAGTCAGAATGGTTCAATGAGATAATAAAAGGGCATCATTTATGGACCAATGACCGTGTGCCACATATTCTGTGAATGACTTCTTATTCTCATTTAATCTTCACAACAACCTTGTGAAGTAGGCACTACTGTTAGCTCCATGCAGAGATGAACAGAGGAAGGTGACCATCCTCAATTCCAGGGTGTGAACCAAAGCAGTTCAAGTTCAGAGCCTGGGCCAGCTGACAAACGCTCGAGAAGACTCATGTTAACAAAACAGCTATTAAGAGTCACTACTTCCTGATGACTCAGACATGTTGCAGGCATTGGGCAACGCTCGCTACACAGGCTCTTGTTTACTGCGTGGCTCTTGCTGTCCCTCCCCCATCACATGATGTGCTCCAGCAGGTGCCCTGTCCCACCCGAGGACTCTGCTTACACACCTTTCTTATGGCACCTGTCATCTCCAAATCTCAGTTCCAGGGCCCCCTCCTCTGTGACACTCCTCCTGACTCCGCAGTTAGAGTTACATGGATCAGCTAGGATGCAAGAACTAGATAAGCTCTGGAAGACATGCCAGTTCCATCCTAAAAGGGTTCATCTTGGTCTCTCACATACGAGCATCCAACAATCATTCTTTTAAAGTCCAGAGGTCAAAGGATGATGTCTGTGTGTCCTGTTAATGACAAAAGTTGAGTCTTGCTCCTGAAGTATGGCCGCTCCTTCACCCAGTGGGTTTTGAGTGCTATTACGTGTTGGGCATGATTCTCGGTGCTGGGACACCTGGCCCTTGGTGGAGCTTAGGTATCATTGAGAGGCAGCCCTGCAAGGAGAGGGGGTGGGTGAGAGCCTGCTCTTTTTGATAGGGTGGTCAAGCAAAGGCTCTTGGAAGCAAGGACATTTGAGCAGCGACCTGAATAACGTGCAGAAGTGCACCGTGTATCTACTGGGCAAGCTCCAGGGTGAGTGTGGGGCAAAGACCTTGAGGAGGAGGTGCCTTGGCAGGTGCCAGGATGGCAGGGAATAGCAGCAGTAAAGAGATGGAGGGAAGGAGCCGAAGCCAATATATATATATATATTGCCAATATATATAGCCAATATATATATATTGTTCAGGACAATATATATTGTTCAGGACACTCAGCAGATCACTTTAGGCCCTGAAGAATGTCCGTGTGTGTTTATATAAGTTCCTTCTTGCATGCATATATACCATCCACTCATACAAACGTGTGGAATTTCGCTTTCAGATTGCCAAGTCCTCTTGGGCTCATTTACTTTTTATGTGTTCAATATACCTGGTTCCTGTTGCCCCAAAGCCTATCTTTCAAGCCTTGCTTTTCTGCACAGAGGGTGTGATCTGCCCTAATAGAGCCTTCGAAGTGAAACTCCAGACCCTGGAGGCCCCTAGCTGGCTGGCCACACTCAGCTGAGAGTGGAACAAGCTTGCAGGTACTGCTTCTTCGGACAGGTGCCTTTAATGAGCAAAACGGACAGCAGGTGGCGCTGCATTACTCTTTATGAATCTTCACAAGGCGGCTGAGAGAAGGGGAGAAATTACTTGTGTGAATTGTTCCCCTTCTCTTGCTTGGTCTTCCTGGGCTGCAGGGAACAAGTGCTGTTTGTGTGACTGAACACTGTGTGTGTGTGTGTGTGTGTGTGTGTGTGTGTGTGTGTCTGTGTGTGTGTCTGTGTGTGTCTCTGTGCGTGCTGATCAGTGACCTGCCTCTGGCATTTGCTCTGAAGACCTCCTCTGACCATCTAATTAAATATTGTGCATGTACCATATTGCTGTTTGTCTGAAAGGTTAAAAAAAAATCTACCAGAAGAAATAAAAGAAATTCAAAGTGTGAAGATGAGATCCTACAACAGAGTCCCTCAAACTTCAGTGGGCATGAGAATCACACTCATCTGTTCGAGGCAGATTATGATGTCACACTGCCAGAAATTCTAATTCAATAGGTCTGGAAAGGGGCCCAGGACACTGTATTTTTACCATGTAATTCTGGGGCAGGTGGCTCATTAACCACATTTTACAAAACCCAGGTCTGACATTCACTGGCCAATATAATCATCGTGTGAATAGTTACAAAGCTACACAGGTTTTCAAGACACTGATCACCTTACCCTAAGATGGGGACAGAAAGACATCTGCAAAGGGCTCCTATGTAATGGGGTAGTTGAGAAGAGAGGTTCAGGAAGTATCGGAAAATCCACCTCATCTTTTTTATCACCTCCTATTCTGCAAGTTTGCACAATCTTCAGTGATTTTTTTTTTCTTCTTCCTGCAAGACTGGCTGAGATAGGGCAGATTTCTGAGCAGAAATCTGCATGTCCTTTAAATTCTCTGCTCCATCCACTTGAAGGCAACCCTGGCTGCACCCCGTGTCTAATTAGTTTGCAAACTAGCAGAGCACAGTGAATATTCCTCAAGGAATTCTCAACTGTCAGGCTACAAGAGATTACTCAGCTGCCCCGAGAGAGCCTCCCCATCCTGGAAACATTACAGCAGGAACATCATCTCCATTTGCTTCTGATGACCTTTGCGAACCAGTATTTAAGAACTTCTGATTTAGAATCAAAGCACCTTTTTGAACTGGAAAGTGGAGGAAGTATGTGTTCAAGACAGGCCGTGGGGTTTTCTGGAAGAGCCCTGGGTAGGGGGAGGGGGGTTGGATGAGAGGGGCAGAGGGCAGGCTTTGGTAAGTTGAGCTTGAGCTGAGTTGCTACTCAGAACCCACTAAATACAAATGCACAGGCTGCATCGTGATGATGGAAAATCACGCTTGGCCAGTTGACAGGGCACAGCATGAGTTGCTTGATAGAACCTTTGAGAAACAAGACATGCATGCCTCACATGATGGAGGAGAAAAACTAGTTTCAGAAACATGCAGTAACTCACCTAGGAGTTCAGGCCAGCATCTGGACCTAACAACTCCCAACTCAGTCCAGTGCTCGTTTTTGTTTTTCCTACAAAGCCATATATCCCTTCACTATCCTGCCACCATGGCACTAAAAACTGCCATGTTACTCTCCGTATTTGAGAGCAGGGGGAACGGAAGTCAGTTATGATTTTACCATGACTTCCTCTTAGTGTAAAATAGTGTCAAATCATAGTACTTCTCTAATCCTTGCTTTCCCCATATGAAAGGAAGGCCAAATGTTGCCCATCATGGTAGAGGTGTGAGAATAAGCAAAGAAGTTCATATGCACGGTAAAGCACGATGGGCCCTGCAGGAGAGAAGCCCTAGCAAACATGTCAGAACCTGCTGGCACTGCCCATGCCAAGGCCTTTATATGTATGTGAATTAATGAAAACTTTAAAAATAATCCTGCTTTCATATAGTTAGTATAAAAAGCTAATTCTCGTCCCCAAGACCAGGCTTAGCAAGGGGTCCCATGATATGAGGCCTGCTTATCCAACCGCTTAACCCAAGAGGAGTCTGACAAAATTAAAATCAGAACACAAAACTTTCCATTACAAATCACCTGCTACTGAGGTCAAGGTCAAATCACTTAAGCCGTTCAATCAGGCTAATGAGATGAAAAAAATTGCAAGTGTACAAAGCAGCTCATTTCTTTCAGAAGTCATGGCTTCAGTGACCCTTAATCTGAAGCAGGGGCAAACTCTGTGCTGTTTTCCTTCCCAGGATTCAGTAAGCCCACAAGAGAACCAGGATACACAAGTTTCCCTCATGGGATATGATTATATGTAAGGTGAAGAAGAGTCCACAGGGCAACCAGGAGGGGGAACTACGGATGACTCTATGGGAAACCCTGAGAAATGGAGACGAAAAGCTGCTGCTGAATTTTAAATCAGTATTGACACATGCTTAGAGTCCAGGGATGTTTAACACATATATGGGATGTGGAATATAATAACTGTAATTCTTCAGGAGAGTAGATCTTTAACAGAAATCCGCCTTATAGAATAAGCTGTGCAGAATGATAAGCTGCCAGCCATTCTCAGCAAATGTACTGCCATTTATGTTGCCATTTATTTCTGTTACTAATAACCAAGGTTTGTGATGTAGCTTTTAAATATTTTAGGATTAGTCTTAGGATATTATCACTTTTGTCCTTGTACATAGTGATATATAGGGAGGGATTATCTTTTAGTAAGAGGCAACTCCAGGAAGTCTATCTAGGACAGCCGAAAAGCGGCAGTCAGCCGGAAGAGAGCCTGGGAAATGCGTCTGGAACCCATGTAGCTGTACAGCCAGTACACTGCCTCTAACCTAAATGTTCACATTCCTTTGGGATGATGTGCAAAGATGTGGAGGTGAGTAAGGGCTGATGGAGACTTGGATCCTCTAACCCCAAGCCAGCACAGGCACCGATAATAACCTAGTGGCCAAGTGCTGGGATTCTGGAGGCAGGGAGACCTGAGTCTGAAGCCTGGCTCTGCCAGGTCTGCAACTTCAAATGGGTGATTTAAGCTTTCTGAACCTCACTGTTCTTTGTAAGGTAGTGTTTCTAATAGTGCCTACTTCATAGGGTTGTTTTGAAAAGGAAGATCATATACATAAAGAACATGTTTAGCACAAAGCCTGGCACACAGTAAGAGCTTAACAAACGTTAGCTGAAAAGGGGGATGTGGGGTTGGCATAGTGGGAATCTTGCAGAACTCTGTTTAAACTCAAAGAAGGATGGGTGTGTTTCTTTGAAGCACTTGGGTCCTGAGTGTACAGGAGATAAGGATCAAGAATGACTGACAGGGCAGGAAACCTCAGTAAGGAACAATCTCTTGGGGACCCCTAAATAGTCTTATCCACCCACTGGATCACAGCAGCTTAACAAAAGAGATTCTACTTGGTACTTTCTGTGCTCAGTTTGGTTCAATGCATAAAAGTCAGGTGAGAGGCATAGAATACTGCCTAGCCTTAATACTCCTGGCCTAGAACTTGGAATCTGAACGTGACCATTCCTATAAAGGGTCTAACTTTCATTTAAAAGTAAGCCATTTATCCAGCAATCTAAACAAGTCCTATGCCTGTCTGGGGACACCCATACACCAAGCATAAGAGGCATTCATGGCAAACATTTTTACCAAACACAGCTTAGGAGATATCATTGTCTCATTAGGACACCTTTGAACTCCTCAATGGGGGAAAAGCTTTAATACTTTTTGAAACTATTTCTAAATGTAGCTTCCTTAACATTGTTTACCCTCTTTCCCTCTCTCCCACCTTCTGGGACCAAATCATCACAGATCAAGGTCCAGGAAACATATTCTTTTTTTAAAAAAGGAACAAAAGTCTAAAAGAATTATTAATAATGAGATATAACATGGGAAGAGAAAAAAAAACAGATGGGGAGAAATTCCACTACTTGTGCTAATGGGGATTGTTCTCAAACATTTCCGACCAAAAAAAAAAGAACCCCCCCCCCCAACAAATTCATATTCAATCAACCAGCCCAGCAAGCTGCTCAGGCCCAGCACAGACACAGGTATCGTCTCTCAGAAGCATTTGGAAGAGGCAGAGTCAGTGCAAGAGAACCATGTGAAGCAAACCAGAGTCCAGGTCACTCAAAACTAAACCCTGGTTTCTTCTTGCTTTCTCCCCACTTGGTTCTCTCACTCTCTTTTCCCCTCCTGCTAAAAGGTGACTAGCGAGCTTCTTCTAGATAAGGAATTTTGGATTATATCTTTAAAAGGACACAATATCTAAAATATGTCATAAACCAACAACAGTAATAACATACAAGTTACATGTAAGTACAGGACGGCGCTGTCAGACCCCAGACTGTTGTCCACCTGCACGGTCACTCGGAAAATGCCCACATTGTGATAGACGTGTTTGATCCCATCTTCCATGGAGCTGAGGTTGACATAAGACACTGCGATGCCATCCCCGAAGTCCACCTGGATGAATGTCCTCTGGACGTCACCCTGAAAGACAACATCAGAGGAAGGGGAGTCGGAGGTGCTTCGCTGCTGCTTCTCCAGGGGCTGGGGCTTGTCTGAGCCCCGGGCTCAAAAGGCAGCCCTGGTTCCCTCCTAGAGCTGGGAGCATCTGTCTGTGTGACAGGATCCCTGTGACATTCCTTGGCAGACAGGAGTTTACTAAGATGGATGCTCTCCAAATCTGAAGGGCACCAACTCCCCAAAGTTTCAAGATTTGGAAAATTAAGTGTTTGATTATCAGCTCCAATTTGATATTCAGTTTCTCTGAAGGCTCTGTTTACAGTCTGATCATCCACATGAATAAAAGACTTACACACACAGTTTAAAACCTTCAGCCTCCCTGACATAATCAAGGACCACTTCCCATGTGTCCTGGACCCCCAAATCCCCTTCTTTATATCTGGTTCCCTAACTGTGCTGGAGGAAGGAGACACCTTGCCTTACACATGATATGACATTGGACTCAGCCCTATTATTGTTTAAGACAATGATGGTTATTTTGTTTACATTTCAGCATTTTGTACTATCAAAATGATCTCATTTTCTTCTTCACAGAATCTCAGTCTAGAAAAAAGTGGGCAACGTTTGTTCATTTTACAGATGAGGAAGCTGAAGTGAAGAAAGTTTTAACCATTTGCTCAGGGTTACCACAGCTAGTTAGCAGCAGTCTTGGGATTTGAACTCATCACTCTGGACTTGGGTTTCATTCATTATAGGTGGATAAAAGCATTGACAGCTCCTCCCAGATCTAATCCTGTTGTCCCATTAACCGGCTGGATGACTTCATGCAAGTCATTCAGTCTCCTTTGGTCTCAGTTACCTAATCTGTGAAATGGGCATATTAATATCTTACCATCTTAACTCAAAGGTTGTTATAGAAGACACGTGAGTAATCAGTAAAATTCGATACCAAAATGAATGACTGTAAAAACAATGCAGCTGTAAAGGACTTGCTATATCCCTTTTAAAGCTTGACTGGAATCATATGATTCTAAATTTCCCACTAGTGAGCAGGAGAAGATAAAGTCTGCTTTATAAAATCCCAAACCTGTAAAAAAAAAAAAAAATAGCCTGTGGAATTAGTTGAGATTCTTAAGGAATAAAGTTTCTTAGAAAAACTGACAAAACCCAGCATCCCTCACAGACAGCCCGTCCTTTAACAAGTTTCTTTGCTTGTTTGTTAGCTTTTCCCATTTTGGGGGTGGGAAAGAAAACAAAAAACCTTTGAAATAGAAATGTATTTTCAACTAAGTAAGGTTCATATGGTATCATATTTTGTGAAAAGGGCAAGTTTAAAATGCTGACATTTAAAAGATTAATTCATAGGGAAAGGAAAAGCAATTCAAATCTTATGAATCTATGTGACCTACTCTTCTGATCTGTGCCCAGCCAAGCATTGTGTGAGGGGGTACACAGCAGCTAACCTTCAGTAAGGACTTGGGCAAAAATTCTCCCCTAGGGTGGGAAAAAGAAACTCCATTCAAAATTATGAAACAAACATCCACAAACCCAGACATTGTGCAATTACTTGAATTCCCTTTACTAGTAAATATACATGTCAGCCATTCTTGCTGACTTGTCCTTCATTTGGACAACCAAACTGGACTGATCAATTTCTCCTTCTGTTTTTGGTCAGTTTCCTGCCATGTTTTCTGTATTTTCAACAGAGTTGCTGCCAGAGAATCCTGGGTTGGGGCATGGAGGAAGAACCCACCTTAAAATCTATTCACGTTATTTGGGACAAGTGTCTCAGGGAAATACCAGGAGTAGCTAGGCTCAACCAGGTTATCTATGGAATGAAACAAGCAACATAGTTTCTGAGAAACAGGTTGAGAGACAGACAGAGAGGGAAAGAGAGGTATAGGGTTCTTTGTGGAGACAGAGTGGACATCAGGTAGGGTCACCCTTTGCAAGAAGAAAGAAGGGAGATTAGCCTCTCAGCTGATTCTACTCCGGCCTCCACAGAGAGAGAGGGCAGCTACTACCCCCGTGACTGGGGAAAGTACAGCTTTGGCTGCCACTGCTTGAGTCTACCTTGCGTTGCTCTTTCTGCCTGGTTTTCACCACTCTCCTTGTGTGGCCCTGGACTTAGACCTCTTGTCAGTTACTTGAAACTCCTCCCAAGTTCTGTCTGGATGTCCACTGTCTGTTGGCCTGATAGCATTCCTAATTCTCCACGGTGGACATCGTTCTCTGTGTACATCACAGGTGAAAGGAGGGAGCCTCACGGCATTTGGACTAGTGCATCAGTAGGGCTGCCAATAGAGTGGAGGAGCCAGACTTTTAGAATATTAGCTCAGGTACAGGGATGGAGATATAGATATACAGATATATGTATATTGGTTTACCACACATCTGAGCGCCCCAGTGGGTGAAGGCATGGAATCCCCCAATCAAATGTGAGATCCCCAAGGCCTCCTGATGTGGGCGCAGGCCTCTGGGCTTGGAGTTCTGCACAGGAGAAGAGAGCACCAGGGGCCAAGTATCTGACAGCTGAAGGCGGCAGATTCACCCCTGCTTGTTGCAGCTTTGCCCACCCACGTGGAACACACTGGATCTCGTGCGTTTGCCGTCAGGGGCTCTCAGGTGCTTGAAAAACCTAACACAGTTGTAGCTGCATCACTTTGGGGCTCACCTACATCAACCTCTGACTTCCTTGGGCTGCAATTACCATCTCAGGCAGGGATACCAACTGTTTTACAGAATAAGAAACAGGACAAAGGGAAGAATTCCTAAGTCCTAGGTCACCATTTGATTAGGTATGCCTGCCCCGCTTTAATGGGGTCATTCTTTCTTTCTTCTGGTCATTCATTAATTCGACCAATGACAGATATTTATTAGGTGTCTATCTTCTGTCAGGTACTAAATGGAGAAAATGCTGTTCAGTAAATTATAACCAACCAAACAAAACAGATGTGGTCTGGGCTTTCTTGAGCAAAAAAACTACTGGTGAGACAGATGGACTTTAATAATCACAAAAATAAATAAAAATCTATTCTAGGGGATGATGTCAGAGGTCCATGGCATTGTAAGCTTGCACAGCAGGGAGAAGTAGAGAGCTGAAAATCTAACCCGATTGAGAACTTCAAGAAAGGCTTCAAGGGGCTTCCCTGGTGGTGCAGTGGTTAAGAATCCACCTGCCAATGCAGGGGACACGGATGGGTTCAAGCCCTAGTCCGGGAAGATCCCACATGTGACGGAGCAACTAAGCCCGTGCACCACAACTGCTGTGGCCGTGAGCCACAACTACTGAGCCGGTGCACCTAGAGACCATGCTCTGCAACAAGAGAAGCCACCACAGTGAGAAGCCCATGCACTGCAATGAAGAGTAGCTAGCCGCAACTAGAGAAAGCCTGCACGCAGCAACGATGACCCAACGCAGCCAAAAATAAATAAATTAATTAAAAAAAAAAAAAAAAAGAAAGAAAGGCTTCAGGAAGAAGTGATATCTGAGCTGAGAAGGCCTGAAGGAAAGAATTTAACCAAACAAAGGACATGAGCAAAAGAGATGGAGGTGAGGAGTTCAGGCAATGAGGACAACAGGAACCAGGTGTGCAAGGGCCCTGTGGCAGAAGGGGGTGATACAGTTAAAGGAAGCTAACAATACAGGCACAGTAGGAACATGTGAAATTAGACTGGAGGGGAGACGATGAGATTTTAGGATTTGGCGGCCAAGTTTCTGGCTTCGATCTTTCTCCTAAGAGCAATGGGAAGACATCGGTGTTTGAAGCAGGGGTGTGGGGGAAGATGGCATGATAATATTTTTAATTCAAAAAGATCACTCTGGCTACAATATGGAGGATGCACTGGAAGGAGGCCCAAATATTCTGGGAAGCCAATTAGGCGATAGTTCAGGATAGATGATAGGTAGATTGATATATGAGTTGCCACAGGAAATTACATTCACCTTCCTGCTAAATTAATTCCCATAGTTTATTGGTTTTGAAATCAATGAATCTCAGCCTTTGATATCAAAATCTCTTATAGAAACTAAAAGAAAAAAAAAGCTGATGTCCAGTTATCATCCAAGACCCACCTCCTGGTTCGGGACCTCTGGGGAGGATGCTTGGTCCTGCTGTGGCCTGAAAAAGGTCCACAGCTGATGCTGGGCTGCACCAAAGGTGGAGGCCCACTGGTTCAGACTGTCGAACGTTAGGTTTTCTTGTGACCGAACTCATCTAAAGACGAATACAGTACAACACAAGCTGATGCCATTCCTATTCCACCTTGGCACAATGGTGAAGGTTTTCCCAGGATGCTTTAGGATTCTAAGTGCTAAGGATGTATTAATAGAGGCAGGAATGGAAGAACTAAACTCACTGTTAATGGCTGGTGCACAATCACAAAAGTTCCACGACACACTCGGTCAAGGCCAGTTCTCTAGGAAAACGAGTTGCTGGATAATATGAAGGTAGTTTGCATACAGGGCTGAGATGTACCCTTAAAGCCTGCATCTTCAGTACCTAACACAGTGCTTGCAGATGATTCTTTTCTGTTCAATACATTTTGAAAATTTAAGAAAGAAAAAATAAATTTTGAATATTGTGCATTTCTACCATGCTTGTTCATTAAAGTGCTTTCTTATATATTATCTCATCTGGCTGTTAGGACCTTTGGGAGACACCAAGGGAAGATGTTATTTCTATTTGCTATACCAGGAGAACTGGAGCACAAACAGGTTAAACAAGATGCCAAAAGTCCCAGAGCGGGTGAGAGGCTTAAAAACAGTCTAAGATGATTTGTGGTTTCGCTTTATCCTTGCAGCTCAGTCCTTGTTAAGTTCCTTTCATTGGAATTCACTTGCAATGCCTTTTAGAATGAGAGAGAGGTGATAACAAAGGCAAGCCTCACTTTCTTTTCTTGTTTGGACTCTATTCCTGGCTTTGACCGTTTCCCCGCCCCTGACAATATTTTTGCTTATAAGTGGAAAGATGGGTTGTTGTGAACTCCATACACTACCCTAATGTCTTCCCTCTGGTGAAGCA